AAGTGGCCGGAGCAAGCTGTAAGATCACGGCTGGCTCCGCCCAGCTGTCAGAAGCTGGCCGAGCGGCTTTCAGCACGCCTCAGCCGAGCCGATGCATATGCGTTCGGCTCGGCCGAGCCGCTCGGCCATGATCGGGAGCTGTACGGGCTTTAGTACAGCAGGCTCTCGGTTCTAATTAACCGTTGGACTCCCGTAACCGAAGCTACCCGAAGGATCGGCCGAAGCTACGGCTAGATCCTTCGGCAGCTTCGTGAATAGACCCCTAAGTGTTTAATTCCATGTTCAGGTTAAGGGTTAATTTGATGATATTTTGCTTTCATTGCTGACTTCCTTCTAAAAATGTTAGGTGCCTTTATCTCATGCTGATCCAATATCCTGGCTCACTGACCCAAACTAAGAAGGCAGATCTGGAGATCTTACTTCACCTGCCGCATAATTATTAATGCCCATAACTCAGCAAGTATTAAAGCCAGCGAAAGCTAGACAAATCTATATTTTCAGAGTAGAGGCTTTCTTTAAGAGAATGCTTTAAAAAAAGAAGAAGTATGCTATTACCACATCTTGTAGAATTCATACTGAAGGACGGTCTTTCCCCAGAAGAACATATCTAAAGGAAGATACTCTAATATTTAAATATATCGTTTTGAGTTTTTGAATACTATATTTGTGTAAGGGAATATGTGATTTAGTTTTCACAGTCCTGAAATGTTTATGTTTTTTAAAATCATTTTGTTTTTTTTTTCTTTTTTGACTAAATTATATATATTGTTAAAGCAGTAAATGTGAGATTCACCAAACATTCACTACAGGTAAGTCTAATCTTCCTGGTGGATGTGTTTTAAGTTACAGTGATTGAATTGCCTGCAGTAAATGTATGGTGAATGTAAAATTCACTACTTTATAAATATGCCCCTAAATGTTACTCTATATACTTTCACTAAAGTGATCATACCTAAAGCAGCGAAGGTGTCTCTAAGGTCTTCTTTGTCAATGAAGCCATCTCTGTTCTGATCCATGATGGTAAATGCCTTCATATACAAAATAAAGTCATAACATTAGCCAGTTCTGCCAATAATTGCCAAAGTTTATCTGTCCATAAATCTGTTAATCTTTATCTTGTAAGCTTTTGTGATACATAGTTGTCCTTTCTTTACCGTAGGATATTTCATTGGCTGAATTGTTTGCTAAGAAGCATCCAACATTTAATTTCTATGGCCAACCTTATTGTATAAATGCATAGACTGGGATGTTTCTGGTTTACTCATTTTACAACTGTATAAAAAAAACCCAGCAACAGCAGAAATATTCCCACAGAGAGGTCAGTATGTTGGATCGCTTCAAATTTATCCACCTAATTAAAGTGTATCCATTGTCACTGATGCATTTACTAAACAGCGGTGTGATATGTAAATAAAAGACTAATACTAATATTTTTTTTATGGGGAAGCATGTGACTCCCCCTGTCCACCCAAGTTGCGCTACGGCAGTGACTGGGCGGCAATCACCAGGTAAGTAAAACCAAGTAAAAACCTTAACTAGAGTGATTTAAGCTGGCCATACACCTATTGATTTTCTGCAGATTTTCTATGGTCAGATGGAAAAAGTGCAACAGATTCCTCCATCTCCACTAAACTGTGTGGATGGAGGAATCTCCCACTGGTCCAAGCTTCAGTATCTTTATTCATGGGCAAACCACAGGTTCAATTTAAAACAGAAGAAAACTACATTCTAAGCAAGCATGGTTTGGGAAAAATCAATATTTTATCTACAATTAAGCAACAACAATTTACAGCTCATCATTAAGTATAATACAGAAAACAGTACACTAGTCATGTATTCACTCTTATGCACCTATTTGTCTATTTGTCTGAATTATTGATTTTCCTAATATGTAAACTTGAAGCGAAAGATTGGATGGAAAGCAGTCGCATGCCACACACACAAAGTGGGACTGTGCTAAGAGGGCAGGGTCTGTACTACCTTGACCGTGGAGTAATAATCTCTTATTTCTTATTTTATGCATGATTCCATTTGTTGTATTTATATATGATTTTCAGGCTATTTTTATGGATCTTGCCTCTTATTTATAATTCAACATATTGCATAGCTGTTTCACCAACTGAGATCTTGGATCCATAATGGATAAAAATCACAGTATACTCACCTCCTTAAACTCCTGAATCTGAGTTTGTTCGAACATGGAGAATACATTGGAGTTGGCCCCTTCAGCTCTCTTCTTTGCTTTCTTGGGAGACTTAAAATGATAAAGAGGAATTGTAAAAAATAGACATTTCTGTACATCAACAGTTTTACCCCTCATGACAATATACCAGCTCAGTGGAAAGTGTAAGCTTGTAGCCGACTGGGAGAAATGGTTCTGCTAGAATTCATTTAACAATTTTAAAATGGTTGCCACCTGTTACTGTGACACTGGTCAAAATTCAGAGTGGAGTCTTTGTGGGATATATCTACCACCTAACTATGCAGAGGCTACTATTAATTCCAATCATCCATCATCTCCTGTTCCTCTGAGTCTTGGTTGCATAACCCTTTCACTGTCATGCTCATCCATAAATGTCTGTTTTAGTGCTCTCTAAGACACCTACAATCCATTAAATTCCAGGCTCCAGATTTAACATTAGTATTGTGAACTATACCTGCACACCGCATGTAAACCAGGAGCTCTGTTCTGTACCATGTATCGCAGAAATAAAAAAAAATGGTATATTTGTAATAATAAAAAAAAGACACCTTCACTACAATACTCTACAATACTTACCTTCAGTCCAATGCTTTTTCTCCTCCACCACATGGTGCGCTTCTTCTTAAATTAATGATGCACAACCCATTTCCTTTGAGCCTAGGCAGTCATAGACACACATCATCACACCCGGGCTCGAAATACTACTGCACTAAATGATGATCACACATTAATACAATAGCAAACACTGACAACAGAGAAGAGGAAGGATCTATAAAGTCACGGGACTGCCCAGAAGACACTTGTAAAAAATGTATGTATAATCACATACAGTATACTGTATAAGTGCCACCTGTAGTTATAAGTGCTCCACGCACTTTAATAAAGTGCAGAGAGCCCAGGGGTGGCGATTGATGTGGAGATGGACTTTCATGGTTTAGAAAGTTGCAGGGGCAACTGAAAAAGACAACTGCCAGCATAAACAAACCACATTAAAATGTGTACTTATTAAAAAAAAAATAAAAAAATGTGAACAGTCTGTTTAAGAAAATGTTTCCAATAAAACTTTGAACAAATTAATTAGACACATGAAGATGGTTTCCCAAGAGTCAAAGCCATAAAAAAAAAGAGGAATACTTAGTGGAATACCCTCATTTGCCAAGAAAAGCCCTGGGCTATGAAGATTTGCCATACAACCCAACTTTTTCTGTGTTCTAGTTCCAAAGTGAACCTAAAGTGGCTTCACAGTCCACAGTTTGCTAAATGCTGACTGTAGCATATCTTAATATTTGAATGGTAAAAAAACAAAGGTCAGTCACCAAAGTGAAATATAACTACCATACAGCAAAGTGTTGTGTTCTGTTACTAAGCTCTTACATTCATGGTCAAATGGTAGACATGTACTATATAACTTTGGATGGCATAGAGAAGTGTTAGAGCCTCTGTCATTTTTTTGTTATTGCTTCCTTATTCCCCATTGGGAAGAAACACCATTTTTGTTTGTACTGGTGGCCATTGTCACCAGGACAGAAAATAGAGGAGAATCCAAAATTGTACAGGAGGGGATATTTGCCAATGGAAACATCAGCTGTCAAAGGCAGGATGCCCCCTTAATGTTAAGAGGTTTTTTTGTTACTTTCTACCTGTTGAATCTTTAGGACATGAAGGGATCTCTCCCTGGTCCCTTACTCACTCAGAGTTGGAACTCACTGCCACAGGCGGTGATTTCAGCAAATAATGTGGAATTGTTCAAGAAACTTTTGGACGATTTCTTAAGGGACCGTAATATACAGGGGTACGGGTACTCCTAGAATGAGATCCTAATAGGTTGGACTTGATGGACTAATGTCTTTATTCAACCTCAAATACTATGTAACTATGTAACTCCATACAAACAACAAAGGAGATCTGTCTGTATTCTCATGTATTTGTTCTGCAACAGCTTTTTCCTCCATATTACTAGGTGAGGCTCTGCCTCCCCTGACCGCACGTCCCTGGAAGAATCTCCCTTATGAAACACAGATAGTAAAAACTAAATAAGCCAACATGAAAATCATTGAATAATTGTTAAGTAAAATGTGGGACATTAAATAAAATGTGTACATTCCAGGTAATTTCTCGTCTGGATACCCAACCCAGGATCCTTATTGGATAATGCAAAGCTTATGGAGCAAATAGCATATGTACAAATCAGTGAAAAGACCAATGATGAAATGCAACAGCCAACCTGGATTCAAATGACTACAAACAGATTAGTGGAACACAAAATCTTATTGGCTATGTGATACTGTACACCACACATCATCATCATCATCATCACTCTTTTCATAAATAAGCCTAGCCATTTTTAATATTGTGTAGGTCCCGGGTGAATAGTACTTGACCACAACCACTGATCAGCACATCAGATAATGGAGCTGTGTAGTTATATAATACATTTCCCTGGTGAAGATTTTGCTGTGGTGTAAGCATTAAGCTGGCCATACACCAGGAGAATTTTGTTAGAAAATTTTAGTTTTCAGAACATTCGTTCAGTTTTCTAACGGATAGTGGGGTCTCATTGATGTTCACTTTCAACATTAGTGAGGAGGAAAATTGAAGGAGCAGAATGGAAAATGTGTCTTTCTTATCTGATCTAACAAAATGTGAAATGTAAATGTGGTTTTTATTTGGGAAAGATCATACATACTCTAATATGCATGTGTTAGACACTAAAGAAAGAAATCCGTTTAATACATCTGAGATTCCGTTCAAGTAGCAGGTCTGGACAAAATTATAGCGAGATTGAATACTGTGATGAACCATTTCAAACTAACGTTCAAATAAAATTCTAACAGTGTATGGGCAGCTTAAAAAAAGAACTACGGGCATAAATATTCTTAATGCTTGCATTGGAGCTACCCCCGCACTGTAAGGGTTAAGTGCTGGTTTTTGTCTAGGGACAATAACAAAGATATACTCAGCTGAACCTCACAGCTGTCTGGCTGCTAGATGGGTCCCTTCAGCCTGTCTCCTCTGATTTCTGTATAGGACATGATGACTCACAGGACCCTAGACTGCCGAAACCAAGGAGGAGAGAGGCTTCAGGAACCAGTCTAGCAGCCAGCCATCTGTGAGGTAGGTTTCAGGTGAGTATAACTCTGTTATTTTTGTCTCTAGATGAAAATGGTCCCATGGTCCCTGTGTGTGTTGTAAAGTAATCACCACTCCAATCTCACTCCTGTGATGGACTACAATCTCATGTTTAGTTTACTAATTTGCATTGAAATTATAGTCTACTTTACAACACACATAGGGGCCATGGGGAACAAAAGTATCTATCTGCTGAGTGATACACACATAAGATACATTTTTGGTAATTGGGTACTTGAATGCATTTTTAAGATTTAACTCCCTAGTTTAGTGCCACTTTAAGAATGTGTTTGCCCGGAGTTTTGCTTTAAACATACACATTCCCAATAGTAAGAAAACACAACAGGCTTAAATTAGCGCAAGGTGATATCATGCACAATGCCAACATTTATGTAAAAATTTACATTATCTACAATGTTGTTTAAACCTGAGCAAGCTCCCATAAATGCCTGCCCCCCCTTCTAGTCTTATGGCACAGGGAAAAGTGTACAGTACAGCTAACATTGCATGTTCTGAAGAATTAAAAGCCCTAGTTTGCCTTGGTTCATTGCAGTAGAAACTATGATACATATGACCCTTGGATATCAGTCTAATGCCTATAGCTTACAGAATAAAAAAAAACTTGATAATAATATGACAATAATTATACATTGTATAGCTTTGTTTCCCAAATGATCCTAATGTTGTTAAAATATAACATAGCATGTATAGCGGGGCACTGTGCTTCTACCTACAGGACTATATAGAGTGTTTTGGGTAAGCCTCTTTTTACCTGTGGAATGTATAGCCACTATATTATTTTACTGCTGCAAGTGCAATAAGGGAACACAAGGTTATAATATTGCAGTAAGTATTCAGCACAGCTTTGCAGCAATGTATAATATAATAACCTGTTGCCATGCTTTCTAATAATGCTCAGTTCTCCCTGCTGATGCTAGGAAGGCTATAACTCTAAGCAGTACAAAACACAAGAACAACTTGGGTGTTTAAATATCAATTAGAATAAAACATGCCAAACATTTATACATTTGTCTTTGTAATATTCCCATTGTCTTATGTACTCACTCATTCTCTGGATTTTATGTCTGAGAATACCCATGGTATTATACATCTCCAATATCTGCTTACCATTGCTGAGCTGGTTTGTCAGGTGTTGCTGCCAGTGGATTTCTAAGACCAGATTTAAGGACTCTGTCCAGTGAGACAATAAATATCCCCCCCAAACTAGTTATAAATAAACTCATGCCCACTTTTGGCAGTTCTAGGTAGGGTAGCCCCATCCTCAAACAAGCCTTTCCCTTGTCTCCAGTCTTGACACATTGTTGCGCAGTCTGATGATATGTGAGACAAAAGAAGATCTGAAGGTTACAGAAACCCAATGCTTCTACAGCTCCATCCCATATGTGATCTTATTTAAAGTAACAATGCTTCAGCAGATGGCTGGGAATACTCCTCATGACAATTGCTGCTGATGTTACAGTGGTGACACATACCAACTCTTATTTTTGTACTCCATACATATCAATAATATGTGGTTCTTTGTTTTCTCTTTAAAACTCTTAATTTAAGGCAAATAACAAGTATAAAGTATATAGATTTGTAAGCCAACATACTTAACTGCAGTGTCTCTGCAGTCCTATATGCGGGAAAATCTCAATATATTCCATATCTATCTATCTATCTATCTATCTATCTATCTATCTATCTATCTATCTATCTATCTATCTATCTATCTATCTATCTATCTATCTATCTATCTATCTGTCTATCTATCTAGTATTCTATCAGTCAACAGAGTGTAAACAAATGCAAGTAGTACGGTGAAGTGGATTTAAGACATGCTGTTCAATACGGTTTTGGGCAAATCATTATTTTATTATTAAATCATGAATATGTACCAGTTTCTTATAATGCTTCCATATCAGATATCTTGAACGACAGCCATTACATTTTCCAGGAATGTAATAAAACACCTGGTCATCTAGGAGCAAAGATAATCGTATCACTGCAGGGATACTGCAGCTTTCTTTTAGTGCCCGGATATTCCCTTAAACTGGCCACACACAAGTAACATTTTGTTACAAAAACAAAAAAAGAGTTTTCGGAAGGTTTGTTTGATTTTCTAATAGTTATTGACATCGAATCAACAATCAGTTTTTGACTATAGTGACAAAAAAAAACACATCGAAGGAGAAGGATGAACATTTTTTATTGAACAAACGAAATTCTGACAGTGAATGTGGCTTTTGTTCAATAAACTCCATTCAAATGAAAATTTTTAACAACATCATGTTTTTCTATTCTGCTCGGTACCACAGAGGTACCGAGCAGAATAGCCTAGCCGAATGCCTCTCTGCGGCATTCGGCTATTCACTCACTGCTGTTCGGCATCTATGAGAATAAACAGCAGCGAGTAGCCTGCCGGAGATTCGGCTTAGCCGATCCAGATGTTGGATCGGCTGAGTCGAACTGCTTCTGCACTTCGGGTCGGCCAAACATGCTGTGCATGTTCGGCCGACACAAAGCCACAGGAAGCAAGCCGATGTTCGGCTGATTTCAGCCGTTATACGGCTGATATCAGCCATACAAGCCTGAAGTGAATAGCCGAACAGTGTTCGGCTCACTTCACTTCGGGTCAGTTATTCACTCGGCTGCCTACGGCAGATATCAAATTTTTATCGAAATGAGATTTCGAACGCTCATACGTAAACCTACCAGTGTATTCCCAGCTTTACATTCCTGCAACAGCACACAAACATGCACCACAGAAAGGAGGTACTAAATAACCTATCAAACGTTAAATATTACAGAGCTGAATTATGGAAATAGCAACAAAGTGGGACTAATGCCAATTTGCCAATTATAAGCAATACTGTTCTAGGTTTAATGAAAGCAGCCAATGAACTGCTAATGCAATCCAGGAACATTGTATCTGGCCTAAAGTCAGAAAGTCCACACAATTTACCTTAAAGTAGAACTAAAGCCAAAACTAATTTTTAATTTAAGTCGGGGAGAGTTGTAACCCCCGTCAGGTAACAGATGTTGTGCTGGAAATTATACACACACTATATGATGACCAAGGGCCAACAAATAATGTATGTTGTATTTCATTTGAATGGGATGTATCAAACTGCTGGTGAATGACCTGGAATATCTTGTCATTCTTATTTTATGGTTGTATCAGTGATGCGCATTGGAGTAGACGTAGACCCCATTCACACTGAGCTACAACAAAGTAAGCACTTTTTCTGTGCATATTTGAGCAGAGCGACTTTGAACGACATTAAGCTGCATCAAGCTTCTTTGAGCTACAGTGCACATTTTGACATGCTACATATCGCTTCTTTTGGCATTTTACCACAGTGACTTTGTAGCTGCTACATTGGGCAGTATCGAATCAAAAGCAGTCTTTGATGTGACATAATTCCTCTTCCCGTTTCCTGCTTCTGTGGAGAGTGTAATTTCTGGGCAAAAGTAACACTTGTGTAGTGTGACATCGCGCTACAATGTCGTGCAAAAACGCTGCTAATGAGCGACATTGAGCTACACCATTGAAGTCTATTGGGGCCAAGAAGCGCATAATCCACCTAAAAGTAGCTCATGTTTGAGCTACAAGCTTCAGCTACAAGCTACAGGTGACATTGAGCTTCAAGATGTGAACATCTCCATTGAAATGCATTGGAAGAGCTACATTGAGCTTCATGTTTGAGTGATTTGTGAGCTGAAAACGTGCTACAAAACGCTCAGTGTGAATAGGGACTTACATTGATAACTGATGTCACAGGAATTATTATTCATTTTTATGAACAAAAAGTGTTACAGAAAATAGAAACTTTTCAATTTGAAGCTAATAGATATTTTACACGTTTGCATGGACATAAAAGAACTCACATATTACATAGATTTTACACATATCACATTATTTTCTTGCTCCTTCTCTGTGTATTGGTTTTGCCAACATACTAGCTGTACATGAGGTTGTTTAGAAATATATTTTCACACAGGTTCAAAATAGAGAAAAAAAAACCTGCCGCATGTCAGATTCTGAGCTTTCATCTCCCCATTATCTCCCCCTTCATTCCGTTCCGCTCCCGGACCCCATGTCACCTTCCTTGATACTTCCAGCTCCCTGTCTCCCCCTTCGTGTCCGCAGCAGCTCTATTCGGCACTCGGCGGCAGTTCTGTGTGATGAGGGGGCGGGGATTACACCGCTCCCTCTCATTGGCTGCTGCCCGGCTGGATGATGCTTCACGCTGCGCCCGGAACAAGATGAGGGGAGCAGCGTGAAGCATGTAGGGCCCAGGACGGGAGGAAGAGGTCCCGGGACTGGTAATCAGCGGTCACCAGTGGCCCCTTCCTCCTGTCCTGGGCCCCCTCCAAGTGGCCGAACTCCAGGGCTCTGCGACCCTGGTAGTTCCGCCACTGGGTCTAAAGCTGGCCATACACCTTACAATTATCTGCAGATTTTCTGTGGTCAGATGGAAAAGGTGCAACAGGTCCATCTATGCTAAACTGTGTGGATGGAGTAATCTCCACCTGGGCCAATCTGTTGCACTTTTTTCCATCTGACCACATACAATAAGCAGATAATTGTAAGGTGTATGGGCACCTTTATTAGACATAGACACACATCAGCATTTAATAGATAGTTAAACTACAACAAAGATCTGATTTGTCTCTCCAGAAATGCTATAGAAAAATACATTGCTGCACTCAAAACTGTGCTATCCTTAATACACTGCAGTAGACCATTCCTACACAAAACCCTAACTATAATAATTGCTATTTTATTCAAAGTTTAATTGAATTATCAGTCTAAACTAGCAAAATACATTAATTGTATTTATTGTATCAAAACAAAAATAGTACAAAGTCTTACAATTTGTAATCGTTAAAAGGCAGCCAAAAGCCTGCCCCCTGCCAGCATGCTGTAGAGTGAGACCATTGCTCTCTCTGGGAGAGTTGTGATCTCTTGCTGAGTCTGATCCAGAACTCTGTGGGGAGCATAAGCTTTAAATCTGACTATGAGCTATAAGTCGAGCTCAGTAGAGAGCATGTTGGACCTCTGCTTCCTTAATGAGAGCAAGGGTCAGTCCCTGCAGCATGCTGGCAGGGGAGAGGCTTTTCTACTCAGGATGTGGCTACATTTAAAAAGCTTGTATAGTGTTAAAGCCCATCTCCCGCTTCCTCCATTCACTGCCGCATCTTCTCCCCTTCGCTCTAATGCAGATACCATATAGACCCTTGGATCTCGACTGGTGGGGTCGTGACCCAAAAGTGTTGAGTGGGTCGCCGCATGCCTTCCACTTTTCTAGGTGAGAGGCTCTTCTGCCTTCCCCTACCGCAGCACTGTCAGTTCTCGTGCCAAGCAGCCATTCAAAATATGCTGCCTGGTGCCGAATGTGTCAACTTGAGGTGGAATGGGCTGGGGGTATGGCCGTGAGGGAGCTCTATCCATATGTGCATTGCTTACAGCTCCCTCACATGTCCTATAGAGGTGCCTGGACTGGACTGACATCACATTGTGGCTCCCAGCACCTCTACAGAGCGTGCAAGGGAGCTGCACAAGCAATGCACATATGGAGGGAGCTCCGTCACAGCACAGCAGCCCACACTGGAGCTCAGGCTGAGGATCCACTCCAGTTCTTGTAAGGTAGAGACACCGGGTGGACCCTAAAAAAAAAAAAGTCCCATTCACACGCAGGTTCTGCAGAAGGACCGGAGGAGGGCTGGAGTCAGCTCCCAGAGTCTGCTGAATGTTGAGAGCAGGGGAGGCGGAGACGAGGGGGTGCTGCGGCTGCATAGAGAGGCGCAGAATCTGTAGGAGGAGTTCTGTCCTGCCCTCTGCTGCTGACTGCTGAGACAAAGTGGGGGCGGAGATGAGGGGGGTGCCGTAGCTGCAGGAGAAGTTGAAGGGTTATATGAAATGGCCTGGCGGACTGGATTCGGCCCCCGGGCCTTGTGTTTGACACATGTGTCGTATAGGATGTCTTATAGACAGGGGACGCGGTTCTTTTCTTTATCCCTCTTTTTTAATTCTATCCTTTCTTTACTATTCCTCGTTTCTACTTTTCTTCTTCTCTTTTTTGTCTTCTATTCTATTATAATTGGGTTCTTGTTTTTGGACATTAGTTTTGGTCC